ACACACATATATACATATATATGTGTATATATGTGTGTGTATACATACACACACACACACACCACACACACACACACACACACACACATATATATATATATATGATCCGGTTGTGGGTACTGAACCTTGGGCCTGAGTGCTGTCCCTCAGCTCTTCACGTCAAGGCTAGTGCTCTATCACTTGAGCCACAGCACCAATTCTGTGTTTTTACTTTTGGCTTATGTGGTGCTGAGGAATCGAACCCAGGGCCTCATGCACACAAGGCAAGTGCTCTACCACTGAGCCACCTTCCCAGCCCTATCCTTGTCAGTTATATACACTACATTTTAATATGAAGATCCTGGCAAATAGAGGTGCTAGCATCCCTAACAAATAACTTGGTAACTCTGATATGCCTCTTCATCTAGCTCAACTCTGTGCCTTTATTGGTCAACTAATTTGAGAATCAGTGCTGCTGATGCTTGACACTGTGCCTTTCTCTAGACTAGATGAGGGAGGAATGGAGGACCTAGATATAAAGCTGCATATCATTGGGCCTCTGATGATGTTTTAGGGTGGTAGGGTGGTGTGCACCCTGTTTTCCCCTCAATTCCAGATATTATCAGTGGAGTCCTTCTTTCCATGCTACAGGCATCATGGATTTTATTGGTTGTCACCAAACACAGAACACATCTGCTTCTACTTTTCTCAGAAGAGCAGGCCTTACTTCCCTTTGACTCTTCTCACAGTGTTGCACCAACCTGGCTATTTGCATACTGCTCCCTAAGGAGGACCTTCTAAGTCTGAGATAAAGGCTCACTTCCTAACTTGCCTTGACCTGTCAAAACTCCTCATTTCACTCCTAAAAATGAAGTCCTTGTCTCAGCTTCTGTGGCTGTTAATGCTCTGGATCCCTGGTAACAGCAAAGGGGGATGAGAAATGAGAGTGGGGTGGCCGGGTGATATCTGAGATTCCAGTTGTGCCCTGTCCATGTGTTAGATGTGCAAGTCTTGTTATTCATGATGGGGTAAGTGAGGATTAGGTCTGCAGAAGGAGAGAAAACCTGTGTTTGGTGAGAATAATGTATTATGTCTAGAGACCTATTTATGCTTAAAGTTATCACTATTTTTTCACTTTAATGAGCATGGAAGGTAGAGAGATGCCTTTTCCTTCTCAATTAAGTAATTTAAGATCATTTCTATTTAAACACCCCATTTCTGTCTCTCCCCGAACACATAATCTGTATTAGTTCTTTAGTAAAACAAAGTTATTGTCATAAGCTCTGAATAAAGAGTTTTGCTTAACTCACAATTTTAGACCAAAAATGTTTATACATTATAAGCCAAACCATGTAATATTAATAATAGGTAATACATCAAAATAAAAATAAAAAGCATGTCTCTCTATGTTTGCGTATAACCTTGCACTTCTATCTTATTCTAATTTCAGGATCAAGTGGAAATGTTGTGATGACCCAGACTCCACTCTCCTTTCCTGTCACACTAGGAGAGCTGACCTCCATCTCCTGCAGGTCTAGTCAGAACTTTCTATATAGCAATGGGAACACATACTTGAAATGGTTCCTGCAGAAGCGAGGGGTGTCTCCACAACTCCTGATCTCTGAGGTTTCCAACAGAGAATCTGGGATCTCAGAAAGACTCAGTGGCAGTGGGTCAGGCACAGATAGCACATTGAAAATCAGCAGTGTGGAAACTGAGGATGCAGGGGTGTATTACTGCTGTCAAGCTACACATGATCCTCCCACAGTGATACATCCCTGAACTAGAACCTCTCCTCTGGCTGGGTGAGCAGCCCTCATGTGTTGTTGGTCTGGGAAGCTGCAGAGAAGATTGTCTGAATGAGCTGAGGAGGAAGACATTGTGATCAATGTGACTGGGTGGACATGAAGAGCATATGATAATTGGATGACTTGCAAACTACAAAGAGCAGGAAAAAATCATGAAATAATAAAGACCAGGAGAATTTAGGTAAACAATGAGGCATCTATTGAAAAAAATATGTGTGTCTTAAGTAGTACTGTAGACAATGAGTGATATTAGCATCAAGCATCTTCTATGATTTTATTCCCTTCATAAGGAAACTTATAAACTTCCATCATGCACATGGTTTTGGTCCATACATACAGTCTATGTTATGTTTTCTGTTCAGAAGCTGGAAACCCAGTTGTACTTCTTCCAGCATCTTCTCTGTTTGTCCCCACAACCCTTAATGAATATCAAGCCCTTAGAGTTCTCTCACTACTTCTTGATTGAATCAAGGTTGGGTTGATACAGTACTGGACTCTGCACACTTGTCTCTTGTCTTGTGTGTTCTGGGGCTCTGGCTCTACTTAATGGAGTGTGAAAAATTCCTGTAATAGTGTTTAGTGGTCACAGAAGTCTGCGACTGAGCCCTTGTTCAATGTGCATAGAATCAAGATGCATTCCTGGTCAGCCTGTGTGATTTTTTTCTTCAAAAATTATTGTGTAGGGGTATCTTTCATATTTAATTCTGTCTTGTATCTGTTTCTAGATTCTATTGACACTGTTATGGGGTCTCAAGCTTTATGTCTCTTTTAGCGTCTCTAAGACAAAATATATCCATCACTTGATGGGCAGAAACAATCCTAGAAAATTATGAATTTTTCTCACATGCTATGGCAACCTGGATGCAATACATCCCCCAGTTGGGTTCAGAGCTGTGGGATAGACCATTGATTTTCAAGTACCAGCATGGTTGTTCTAGTAATAAGGCTTGTGACCATGATCCAAAACTGGGCTGTCACACTCAGTGAAGCCCACCAATATAACTGTAAGAGAATTTGACACACCCATCCCAGGGTACCACACAGAGGCAGGGAGGCACAGGAGAAAGATTATTATAAGGTTTATTATAGGAGCCATATTTCCCTCAAGAGAAACACATGGCCTCCATCACCATTCAGGTAGCAAGAGAGTCTGAGGAATAGGAAGTGAGGTAGATGGGAGTTCAGGTGGGTCTGGGCAGAGAGAAGGAGGGGCCAGCTGTATGGAGGGAACTCCAGGATGGAAGGGGGGCCCAGGTCAGGGTGGAGCTGAGGAACAAAGGGGAGCATAAAACTAACAGTAACTACTTAGAAGTATATTAAAATTAAATTTTTAGTCCTTCAGGGACCATAGGTACATTTCCAATGCCAATGAAGGAGGTGCTAAGTGAATTCGGTTTCCTTGTCATTTGAGATGAGTTACTTTCCTGCATAAAGAAAAGCTCTGCAGAACCTTCTGTGAGAAAACAAAGTGAGATTGCAATATGGTGTCAGAATGCAAATGTGGATTGAGGGAGAAAAAGCCCCTGTGTCCACAAAGCAGACAAATGCTCATGTGACCAACATGGGAATATAGTCAACACAAGCATTGCTGCAAGCCAGGAGGCCAGGCCTCTGGTTCCTGTAGGCAAGGCTGTGAGCCTCCTGTGGCTAGAGTGACAGGAGTAGCTGTCTTCTTTGTAGGTCATAGGCTGAAATTTGAGCCACAGGCATGAGGGACCCTCCAGAGGCTCTATCAGCAGTGGCATTATTGAGACTGCTAGGAGTTTGTTGCTTGAGGATTCCCAATAGTTTGTAACTCAGTATTCCAGCATGTAACATTTTCTGATTCCCAATAGCTTGTAATTCATTATTCCTGAATGTAACATTTCCTGCTTCTTAGATTTAATATTTGAAACCAAAACAATAACTAGTCCACCAGATAATATCAACAAAGTTTCTTTGTTGTTGCTAATTATCATATTTTGACACTAGATTTGTTAGAGTAGGCCAATATGAACACACTTCCAAGCCTTCACACTGAAGTCAAACAAGAACAAGGGAGACACTAATTCCTCCACCTGCATAGTCACATGGCACAAATGGAGGAAAAAGGACAATTTTCCTTAAGTGAATCAGTTTTTTGGTCTTCAGCAAAATTCATGTTTTCTACTTATTCATGTTGTTCAGTGTTCTGTTGAAAACTAGCACAGACCTGGTCTCTCTGGGTGTAGCTTTTTCCTCTCTGTTTACTTCACACTCTTAGATTTGTGTTTATTCACCCCTTGATGGGTTAACAATAGGGTGGTGATATGGAAAGTGTTAAGAGCAAGGGTAGGACTTAGTTGGAGGAAATACATCACTTGTGGGCATGTCATTGGGGCTAATCTTGCCCTTACCACTTTCTATAGTTTTTTCCCCCCTTTGGATTCTAATGTGCACTGAGTTGCGTAGCCTCTGCTAGATGCTCCCACCACCTGATCTTGGGCCTCACCACAGGCCAAGGAATCCAAGGACTGTGAACTGAAATCTCTGAAAATATGAGCCAAATCATCACTTCCTTCCCTTATGTTGTTCCTGTCATGTACTTGGTTTTATACATGTTATGGGGAAAAGAGTCCACCACTCATGTAAAGAAAGCCTCATGTTAAAATACGACTTTATTGGGGAAGTGGATAGCTGACCGACTAGGGACACAGCACAGATTCGGGGGCTGAAACTGCCACCTTGAATGTCCCATGAGCTAGGGGTTTTAAAGGCAAAATTCATGTGGTCAAGCCTAGCCACATGCAGGTGGCCAATGGGATTGTAGCACACACAGAAGGATTGCATATTTATGTCAGTGGCCAATGGGGTTATAGTCTGTCTCATAGTATCTATATGAACTAACCTATCATTCTCGTTTGAATTGGCACACAAATTTGGGAGTCTCCACACTAAGCAAGTAGATATTTTCACTCTTGGGGTCAGACATAAAGCTGCTCCTTCTTGGAAGGGCAAAGGTGGCTGGGCTGTTTTACTATTGATAACCAAACAGGGCTGCAGATCCTGTCTGGGCTATTGAGATCCTGTCTGGGCTATTGATAATCAAACAGGCCTACACATCACATAACCTGATCACAACAATCCTAAGGCCTTTCCAAACAGTTTCCACATTTCCAGGGGTCTCAACAAATAGCATATTTCCTGACCCTTGGGGCTTGTGAGAAACCAGTATTTTGATTCTCAAGGGTGTTGGGGCGGAACTCTTGGTATATAACTCTTGGAGTTAGTTTTGGCTCACCCCAACAACACACACAAAATTTATGAACACGCCCATACTACTGCACAGCAATCTGTACTTTAATCAGGTAACAAGGATCCATACAAGATTTTAGAAACTAGGCTTTAGGAGAAGTTTATTTTTGCTAAGGAGATCTTCACTTAGCAAAATTATTTAGACACACAAAAATATTTATCAGTTGGGGCTGGGAAGGTGGCTCAGTGGTAGAGAGCTCGCCTTGCATGCATAAGGCCCTGGGTTCCATTCCTCAGCACCACATAAGCAAAAAGAAAAAAAAATATTTATCAATTATATGATCTCAGACCTCAAAATAATAATGATTTTTAGAAATCTGAGGCTATATCAATATTAAATATTGTTCAAAATATTGCCTACAATTCCGAAAAGTGGGAGAAGTGGATTCAAGTTGAGGTTATACTGGCCAATTGTTATCAAGAATCTATCTCAAGAGAAATCTAGGCATTGAGATAATCTCCTATAGTCATGGTTACCAAAGCAGTACAGATAGGTGGAACATGGCCTAGTCTTTATCTCCTAAACAAAACTAAAATGAAAAAGTTTAGGAGCAGTGTTCATTTTGGAGGACTTGCTTAGCCAGCTTAAAGCTCTGAATGTTCAGAATACAAACCCTTGTGTTTCTTTGGTGGATATTTTGTGACTGGAATTTCTCTATGTACTTTAACCTCTAGATGTTGCTCATGATCTCTATAATTCCCTGCCTCTTTAGTCACTGAGGAAGATCAAACAAAATCCATGTTGGAGGCCAGCTGAGTGACCTGCAGCACAACAATTAAAGGAGCTCCAGCAGGATCATCACCAATTAAAAGCATGAATAGCTGATAATAGCAGTTGTGTACCAGTTGTTCATTGCATACTATTTTTGTTAAAAACCAATTGCATAACTATGGATATTTAAACAGCAACAGGGAAAAGGCAAAATAAATAATTTGCTAAATATATGAATATGTAATTCATTTATTGAAACATGTAAGGAACAGCATTCACTTTATCCATATTATTGTGATATATGATGTAATATACAATAATATATAGCAATGTATAGGTAGAGAAATAAAAATGATATTTTAATAAGCAGTACAGATTTAAGAAATATGATTAATTCACAGTTAACAATTAGGCATACTTATACATATATTGGTATGTGTTTATATGGGTCATCTATAAAACATGTGTCTAGATTTAGATATTTATTGTGTGCGTATATACACATCTATATATGCACATATATATACACATATATGTATATATATATATACATATAAATATCCAAATGTAGCTGCATAAACATGCAGCTATAATACACACACAGTGAAATTTTCAGGGATCTAATGAAACATAGTTTATCCTTTGCAAAGACTGTCTTAAAGAAAGACATGAAAGAACACACAGCATGTAGAGGAAACTATGTATATATGGCTCAGTAATCTTCTTTCTATACTCATTATTTTCTTTGAAAGGTTTAAGGAAACAGAAAAAAATCTGATGATCTTTATGATGGTTCTCTTGGCTGGATTGCTTGAAGATGAAAAACATACTTCTGGACCTGGCTGTGAGAGATTCTCTGGAGAAAATTGACTGAGAGAGAAGACCCAGCCCATTATACACAGCCACTTCCAAAGGACTGAGATCTCATCAAATGAAAGGGGAAGCAAGATGTAGCCACCAAGTAGAATATTTCCTCTGTTTCTTTGGTGCCATGTTGTGAGCTTCACCAAACTCTGCCCACATGGTAGACTAGACTTTGTAATCTAAGAGTTGCAATCAAGTACTCTGCCCTTTATATTGCTTTCACTGAGTTCTTAGCCACAACAAGGGAAAGCTAAGTAACTCATCTTCATAACTTAGGGCCTAGCTTACTTTCTAACCAATGAT